AAGCTTGGAGAACGCTGAATGCGAAATCACATCATGTGATTGCTTGAGACCAATCAAAGATCAAAACATGACCTCTCTGGCTTGCTTTTTCAATTTCTAATTATTTTGTTTAATTCCACTACTCGCTTTGTTTAATTCCACTTCGCAGTGCAGAATATTGCATGCTTAAACGTTAGTGTGACCGCAGCCTTACTGTGCAGACCTGTAATATGTAAGACAATATTTATATCTGCTGATTTCTTAATTTTGTTATACATTTTCTGTTATTTATTTGTTTGGTGCCAAAACAATAAAATTAATTTGTCTGAAAAAATGTTATGCCTTCTATTTTTAAATAACAGCTAAGAATACTGATTAATTTTAGTAACACTACAATAACTATATATGACATACTATTAATGTGTATGCAGTATAATGCTGTGATTTGTAACACTACAATACAGTAATTAACTCTACACAGTTTCCAGTTAGTTACCACTGCTGCTCTATTACAGTAATTAACTGGCAACACTGTTGCCAGCCACTCGCTGTAATGGTTCAGTTACAGTAGAAAACTGGCAACACTGTTGCCAGCCACTCACTGTAATGGTTCAGTTACAGTAATTAACTGGCAACACTGTTGCCAGTTACTTACTGTAACCGAACTTTTACAGTGAGTAGCTGGCAACAGTGTTGCCAGTATTCTACTGTAAAAAACCCTGGTAAGGTCTAACAGTGTGACCTTGTTTGTTAAATAATTTGAGTGTTGTTGGGATATTTAAATGAGTCATGTGACCGTAGTACTCAAAAGAGACTCTAGACCAGCGGTGCTCAACCCTGTTCCTGGAGATCTACCTTCCTACAGAGTTTAGCCCCAAACATAATTAAACACACATGAACCAATTAATTAGGAAATGAACAGCACTTGATAATTACAGGCAGGTGTGTTTGATATAGGTTGCAGCTAAAATCTGCAGGAAGGTAGATCCAGGAACAGGGTTAAGCACCTCTGCTCTAGACGCACATTATCACTGTTACCCTGATGAAGGCAGATCCTTGCAGAAACAGTTAGGTTTTTATAGATTTAGCCATGTGAATTAAGGCTTTTTACATTTTCCACATTTTTCGAGTGCCTTGGACTGATTTTTGTTGTTGTTTTGATGAATCCCTTAACCAAAGAGCACCGACCAAATGTTTAAGTTACCCCTGAGACTTTTTTGGTAACACTTCATTATTTGTTAAGCATTAATTCTACATTAATAAACGTTAGTAAGCAGTTTATAACTGTAGCTACAAATGCTGTATTCTTGACTATAAGCACCTATATAATGTGTTTAATAATTGTATTTTCATACATAGTTTATGATTTATATTTTATTACTAAATTAGGTATTGCATTATTTACAAACGTGTTGTATTTAAGAGTAGGTGAGGGTTTTTAGGATAATTCAAAATGAGTTAGTAAATGATTAATAAACTGTTGAAATCAACATTTATATGTCTTATTATTCAGGCATATACTAATGGTTAATTAATATGTTAATAAATGCTTTATTAACTCAACTTCACACAGTTTTGTGACCTAATCTAAAGTGAGGACTATTTATGCTTTAAAAATCCCTTATAAATCCCTATTAAAGATTCAAATGAACAATAATCCTTGCAATCTTTTCTAAAAAGTAAAATTACTGTAGAGTTTTAAAGTTGCTGAATAACATAAGTGTCAAAATACAACATAAAACTGGATAAAACAACAACAACAATATAATAATGTAACAATATAATAAGATGCAATGTTTAAACTCTACAGTGATTTTATTTAAGGTTAGGTTTAGATTAGATTGCAAAGATTTATTTTTCGTTTAAAGTTTCATTTGTGTATATTAAATGAATAGGTGTGAATAATGTCATTTTTCCTTTTTAGAATTTAACTGAGCCTTTATTTGTCATTTATAAAGGAAATAATAAAGCATAAATAGTCCTCACTTTAGATTAGGTCACAAAACTAGATGAAGTTGAGTTAATAAAGCATTTATTAACATACATAGAAACGATTAATATATGCCTGAATAATAAGACATATAAACGTTGATTTTAATAGTTTATTAATCATTTACTAACTCATTCTGAATGATCCTAAAAGCCCTCAACTACTCTTAAATACAAATGGTTTGTAAATAATGCAATACTTAATTTAGTAATAAAAAATCAATCATTAACTAAGTATGTAAGTACAATTATTGAACACATTATATAGGTGCTTATAAGTCAAGAATAGAGCATTTGTAGCTGCAGTTATAAACTGCTTACTAACGCTTATTAATGTAGTTAAGTTAAGGCTTAACAGATAATGAATTCACTCTTTGCCAATGCTTAATAAATTATTTATAGTGTGTAGTTATTATAAAGTATTACCAAAAAGGTTCCTTAAAATTTTAAAGGACAAATAAAAAATATATGTTGAGAGACTAAAAATAGTCTCAAAACTGTGGGGAAGTTGTAAAATGATCATATTTCAGAAAATGTTTGTTACTGTTAAAAGGTTTGAAGTTTTATAGTTTTTTTTTTTTTTTTTGATACTCTTATCCTGCAATGATGCATTTACTTGATTAAAATGACAGTAACGTTTAACATTGCTACAAACATGGAAAATGTTCCTCTAAACTTTATGTTTATCAAGCAGTCAAAAAATGCATTGATAATAATAAAAAAGGTCAAGTAAAAAACAAGTATAACAATAAAAAAGACGAGTATTTTGAGACAAAAAATATATATATTTAGATCAAATAAGGGCAGCATTACTGAGCACTGGCTGATTTCATAAACCTAAAACATTCCTTACTGACCCCAAGCTTTTAATGACCATGTCATGTGTATACCAAATAATATGGTAAATAAAATGACCTTTGTGGCGAGCGAGTGAGATGCTCCAGCCTCCAGCAGCACCGCAGCCGTCTCCACCTGCCCTTCACGAGCCGAGATGTGCAGAGGTGTGTACCCATTAGTGGTGGAGGCGTCAGGGTGAGCCATGTGCTGCAATAACAACTGCACAATCTCTGTCTGACCCAGACGAGAAGCAATGTGAAGAGGTGTCTGATCCTCCTGGAGAGAGAAACCAGTGAGTCGAGCATATTTACAACTCTCTTTGTGAGCCATTAAACTGTGTATTTTCAGTGGGTTTTATGGACTCACTCTGGCCATGGCATCCACCAAAGCGCCATTTCTTAGCAAACATCGCACCACCTCCATCTGTCCTGCTCGTGCAGCCATGTGCAGTGCTGTCTCACCACGCTTAAACACACACACACACACACACAATCCACTGCTATGTTGGCTTAATTTATGTATTCTGATTATTACTCTGATACTAGAAATTAGAGGTGTACGATATGCATTGTGGACATTAGAATTGCCATTGTTGCTTTAATGATGTGCAAACTTATATCATGTATTTCTCTCTCTTTAATTTAACACACTTTCAAGAGTTCACACTTAGCTGATGACTGATTATAAAGCCAGTTTGGCATGCTGTCCCGGGAGAGAGCCCTGAGCTTAAAAAATCCTTGAGCCCAGGGCTCCCTCCTGTTTGCAGGGAGAGAGGGGAGTTTGAGCTTAGGTAGATCTCAAGTTTGTTAAGAGCTGATGGAAGAATATAACTGCTATGTAGAGATATACTGCTGAATAAGAGCTCTACTAGAGTGCAAAATTTAGAATGATCAATACACTTATGACACATGTTTTTGGAATTTGGGAAGAAAACCGGAGAACCTGGGGGAAACCCACACGAGCATGGTAAGAACATGCAAAATCCAAACAGAAATGACCCCCGGCCTGTTAAGAACTAGAACCAGTGACGTTCTTGCTGTGAGGCAACAGTTTTAATCACCGTGCCACCATCACTGTGCCACCCTATAAAGGAAAAGGTGGAGGAGTAGTGGTGGAATGGGGGATTCTTCAAGGCGATGATAACTGTAATAAGAAACCCTGGCTCCTTATAGTGAATTATGAATTGGTGTCTGATTGGTGAATCATGCATTAGTTAATCCAGAACCAGCCGTGTTCAATCAAACGTGATCCTCTCGAAATTGGTTTATAAAAAAACTTCACTGTAAGAGTCTGTGTTAGGGCAATGTGCACATTCAAAATCAAAAGTCAAAGTCAAAAGTCACATCTGCAATGTTGAGATGGGATTTTAGTTCAGCAAAGCCACAATTCAAAACGCATGAGATTTGTGGAGTCACTGCTATGTTTAATCATAATGAAGTAAAAATTTTATTATTTAGGCTCCGAGATAGTTTAAAGCATTGAGGCTCAAACATTTTTTGTACATTTCATAAATGCCTGAACACTATTTGACTACACTGAAAACCACAAAGCACTGTGTATTTCACTTTTATTGTTGCTCTATTGTATTTATCTATGCTTGGAATGTGTTTATTACTTTTTTATGCATGATTCATCTTTCATTAATTTTTTCTTCAGCTTAGTCCCTTTATTCATCAGGGGTCGCCACAGCTTAACTTATCCATCATATGTTTTACACAGCGGATACCCTTCCAGCTGTAGCCCAGTACTGGGAAACATCCATACACACTCTTTCACACACATACTGCCAATTTACTTTATTCAATATAGCAGAAAAACTAAATGTCAGATGTTTCAAAAATGTCCTTGAACTAATAATAATGATAATAATAGTAAAAGAATAATAATAAAAGAAACTCAAATAGCTTGTGAACAAGTGAAGGATGACTAAATGATGAATAATTGTAATTTTTGGCTGATCTGTCTATGTAAGAAATTTATATTTGACATTTTCAAAATGGTTTCCCAGTGATGGGTTGTGGCTGGAAGGGCATCCGCTGCGTTAAACATTTGCTGGATAAGTTGGCGGTTAATTTCACTGTTGCAACCCCAGATTAATAAAGGGACTAAGCCAAAAAGAAAACAAAGGAATGAATTAATTTCCGAAATGGGGTGTCACGGTGGCGGAGTGGGTAGCACGATTGCCTCACAGCAAGAATTTTGCTGGTTCAAGCCCCAGCTGGGTCAGTTGGCATTTCTGTGTGAAGTTTGCATGTTCTCCCCGTGTTTGCGCGGGTTTCCTCCGGGTGCTCCGGCTTCCCCCACAGTCCAAAGACATGCGTTATAGGTGAAAAGAATAAGCTAAATTAGCTATAGTCTATATGTGTGTGAATGCAAACGTGTATGGGTGTTTCCTAGTGTTGGGTTGTGGCTGGAAAGGCATCCGCTGTGTAAAACATATTCTGGATATGTCGGCGGTTCATTCCACTGTGGCGATCCCAGATTAATAAAAGGGACTAAGCCAAAAAGAAAATTAATGAATTTCGAAAATGCTATACAAATCATGACGATGGTGCACTTACAATATTACAGACGTCAGGTGAGGCTCCATTCTGTAGCAGCAGGAGAACGATATTGAGATGTCCCATGAATGCTGAAACATGGATTGGGGTCAGACCAGACTAAAAAAATAAGAGAAGAGGGAGAGAGAGACAACCACAATGAGCAAACAGCGACTGAGAAATGAATTCCCCCCAAAAATGTAACCAATTGAGATCTACTCTAATTCCCATTTACATTCAATTATACATGCACCACATCGCATTCATGGTGTATATTATTTGCAGTTGATGTGTTCCCTGTTGATTTAACCTGTGACTTTGGATATGTTTGTGCCATGTTCTTACATTTTGCTTAGAGGAATATTTAAAAGGGTCTTATACCCTTTTATAGAAAATATAATCAAAGTTGTATTAGCAGAATTTGTCTATGATATTTCAGCATACAATACCTCATAGATCCTTTATTACACCCATTTTTTAAATGCCTTTTTTTTCTGGCTAGGAGTAAAAAAGCTCTCTAAATGTAAATGAGCTGCTTCTCACCAGACGAAGGTGTTCATTTTACAGCTGGTTTGCTGTCAGTTTAAACTGATATAATTGTGGATATGATGAATAAGGTATCAGCAATTAAGGTCACACTTTATTGTGATGGTCTGTTTGTTGAATTTAAGTTACATTGCATCTATTCTACATGTCAACTAATTCTCATTAGATTATAAGTAGACTGTTAGGTTGGGGTTAGGGTTAGTGTAAGTTGACATGTACTTGCAAAGTTTCTTATAGTCAGTTAAATGTCTGTTGAACGTCTGTATCAGCAATCTTTTAATACTCAAATGGACCATCAAAACAAAGTGTTACCGCAATTAATATACTGATTTTTAAGATGCTAGAAACAATTATTTTGAGAATATATAAGATGTATGAGTCAGATCATGCTTGAAAATGACAGTGACATTTATATGACAGTGAAATTGAATATTCAAAATGAATAGAAGACAATAAAATATGCAATACTTAGATGTAAGTTTGATACAAATATCAAAAGTGTGTTATATTTTATTGTAGTCAGAAATGCTTCTGTGTTTGCTAACTGGGTCTGGGTCACTAAAGACCCAAATATGTAATAATGTTCACCCAATGAAACACTTGAGGTTGTTTTAAATATTTTTAATTGTATATTTTTTTGTTTTTGGGTGAATTATCCCTTCATGTTTTAAACAAAGAAGACTGAAAATTCAGAAATACAATAGACTGATTTCACGTGGCTGCCATTTTTAAAAGCAAAATCGAGGCTGCGTTGGGAAGAAACCCGGAAGTATCATTGGGAGTTACAGAGGAATGTTGTGTACCTGGCTATATATCCTATCAGCGAAGAGAAAGTGACACAAATTTATAATTTCACCGCCTTCCGAGTAACCCAAAGGTCCGTTCTGAATGAATGGTGATAATAAAAGGGATATCAAAGCTCATTTTCAGCTAAGTTAAGGAAATGGCACTAGTTAGCAAATAGTTTTCTTTCCCAAACACGTTTTAGATGCCATTTATTAAACTCAAGTTAATGAACTGATTCTTCACCATATTAGACTTGTCATGATACTGAAATAAAAGAAAAAACGTCAATTTCCCGTTAACATTTAAGGCACTGTTGATGGCTTTGTTAAAACAGCGCTGATTTGCCATTGAGTTCACATGCTCAACAGAAATGACTGTGATTGGCCGAGAACGTCATCAGTTCACCCTCCGCTGTTTACTGAGCACAAACACAGACGAGCGATATGCTTGATGACTCGACTGATCTTCACGGCTGCTTCGCGCTCCATTCTCCATGTATCTGTGTTTGCACTGCGTGAAGAGCGGTAAAGTGTTGAGCACGGGTGAACACTATGGTAAATCAGCGCTTTTTATGAATGCGCTCAGCAGCGATTGAATGTTAGCTGGAAATGGACGTGTTTAAGATTGTGATGTTGTTTGATGCTAAATTGCTTTTAATTGTTTAAGCTAAACTTACTGAATGGTATTAAGGTGATGTTTACACCATTTCTGCATTTTGAAAAATCGGCAACAGCTGGAGGTTTGTAGTCCAAAGCATGTTACTGCAATGTTTACAGTGCTGGTCCTATACTTCCAGGTTTCTTCCCACTGCAGCCTCGCTTTGGTTCTTTAAAATGGCGGCCGTGTGAAATAAGCGTATAGATGGCATTTGAAGAAATTCAGGAACAGTGATTACCAATATAGAGAATTGCTTTTTAGTACGCTTAGTAGCATTGCAGATTTTTTTACATGCTTGAACAGCAATGTTATGAAAAGGTAAAAATAAACATAACAGATTCATATTATTCTGCCCTATTATTCTCCTTTATGACAATGACAAATCGAATTTTATTGTCCTCAATATCTTAAAGATTACATTAAGTGTGTGAATTGAGACGCAGACTCCCACCTCGGTGATGGCCTGGATTGAGGCGCCGTATTTAACCAGCAGCTCCATGACTTTCACTCTGTTCTTCTTGCAGGCAATATGTAGGGGAGTGAAGCCGTTCTGACAGAGACAACACATACATTTGTAGCTTTGATTAACACTGATGAATATGCAGTAATAGCATCTTTCACTGAATTACCAGCGCTCTGGCATTAGGATTTGCTTTCTTGTCCAGCAGTAATTTGGTGACTCTGTAGTGACCACAGTGTGCGGCCACATGAAGGGCGGTCAGGTAGTCCAATGTGACATCATCAACCGGTGCCTTGTGTTGCAGCAGGTGTTTCACACACTCGACGTGATCACCCTGAGCGGACATGTGCAGCGGGGACAGACCGTTCTGTGTGTGTGTGTGTTGGAAAACAGAGAGAAAAAAAAAACATACAGCTCAACCTTAGATCAAAAAAATTATTACAGTGATTTGATCAGATAAAGATGACGCCATGGTTCTATATGATTCACATCTACAGTTGTAGTCAGAATTATTAGCCCCCTGTTAATTTTTTTCCTCAATTTCTGTTTAACAGATTTTTTTCAACACATTTTTAATCATAATAGTTTTAATAACTCATTTCTAATAACTGATTCATTTTATCTTTGCCATGATGACAGTAAATAATATTTGACTAGATTTTTTAAAGACACTTCTAAACAGCTTAAAGTGACATTTAAAGGCTTAACTAGGTTAACTAGGCAGGTTAGGGTAATTAGATAAGTTATTGTAAAACGATGGTTTGTTCTGTAGACTGCCAAAAAATATATAGCTTATAGGGGCTAATAATTTTGTCCTTAAAATGGCTTCTAACAAATTAAAAACTGCTTTTATTCTTGCTGTAATAAAACAAATCAGACTTTCTCCAGAAGAAAAAATATTATCAGACATACTGTGATAATTTCCTTGCTCTGTTAACCATCATTTGTGAAACATTTAAAAAAAGAGGAAAAAGAATCAACAGAGGCTAATAAATCTGACTTTACTGTATATGGTTCTTGTTTGTTCCAAGGATGCCTTAAATTTATCAAAAGTCACAGTACAAACATTTGTAGTGTTAGAAAAGTTTCCAGTAAGCAAACTTTATATTCATACAAAATCATTAAACTAAAACACACTTTATGCAAATAAATATTTAAAAAGTTTTAACATTGATAATACTGTTAAAGGGGACCTATTCATGAATAAAAAAAACACTTTTATAAGGGGTTTTAACACAGTTGTGTGCCAACAGGCGTTTGTAGCTCCACCCTCTTTTTAAAAGAGTACAATCTCATTTAAATTTAAAGTGACAATCACCAAAATGGCACAATTTGGATCAAAGCCTAGAACAGGCAGTTTCAAAGCGTTATTATTTGAGAGGTATTTTGAGTCGAAACTTCCCGTTCACTCTCTAGGGACATTAGAGACTTATTTTACATATTGTAAAGAGGGTTTAGGTCTCATAAGAGGTCCCCTTTAATAATAATACTAATAATACATTTAAGTGAAAGATCATGTGTCACTTAAAGGGCACCTATTTTACCCTTTTTACAAGGTGTAAGATAAGATATTGGTGTCTCCAGAATGTGTCTGTACAGTTCAGCTCAAAATATCCAGTAGATTATTTATTATGTAATGTAGACTCTGCCCAGTTTGGTGTCTGAGGGCAGTGAAGCTGTTTTTGTAGCCTGTGGCTTTAAATCCAAATGAGCTGCTTCTCCCCGCCCACCGCTTCCACGTGTGTGTTTGCTTCTCATGCTTCACGTCAGATAAACAGCAGTCAGAGACAGGCACGGAAGAAGCTGAAATAAAGTCACTAGCTAAAAATACCAAGTAAGTTTATGTCATGTATTTGTGATGGAGTTTATTCAAGCCTTTCTGAAATGATGAGTCTCACATACACACACACACACAGACATATTAGCACTTACTGGCACCATGTGGCCATGGTGATTATAGCGGTTAAGAATAACATGTTAATTTTACTCTCTTTATTACAATCATGCTCTGTCTTAAAAACATTTTAAACTTATTAAACAAATTATTGAGGTGCAGCTGATCACAGAGTTTTATGTATGTTTTAATCTCAGTTTCGTTGCAAAAAATGTTCTGTGCGTTTGTATACATGTTATTATGGGTGGGGACAACAACACTCCTACGTCACGTTGCAGTGGGCCTCAATATCACTGGGATTTGGATCCTATTTTAACGCAAGTAAATTTTAAAAAAGATTTGTTGGGTTTATATCACTCCAATATGACTGTGGACACACTATACCAGGGGTGGCCACCCCTGCACTATACCTACACACAGTTCTGTCCTAACAACTCACAAAAAGTTGATTTTCATCATAGGTGCCCTTAAAAACGTTCGAGGTTACAGAAGTAACCCTTCGTTCCCCGAGGAGGGGAACGGAAGTGCCATGAATGGGAGGATTCGGATCAGAAGCCGCTTATCTGGAGAGTATTGAACGGGCCAATGAATGAAATTAATTGGCAGCGTAAGCTTGCGCAGGTGTGCGACATCTGCAATCATCTCAGCATATAAGCACACCTGAAGCCAGCAGACGCCATCCTTTTAAGCTGAAGAGACTTTCAAACAGCTAAGGGACAGTCATTATGGCGACGGAATATGGCACTTCCGTTCCCCTCCTCGGGGAACGAAGGGTTACTTCTGTAACCTCGAACGTTCCCCTTCGGTTGGGGAACTTCAGTGCCATGAATGGGAGAATATGGAAAGCGCCATAATGACTGCACCTTACCAACACCCCCGATGAGGAGATAGTCAAGCAAGCGTGACGCACCCACATCATGGGGGGCGCGGTCCTCCAACGTGTCCCTGGCCCTAATTTATCCTACTTCAACAGAAGTTTTACGGATTTAGATATATTTTTTGGGAAGTCGTGAGCATCTAGATAATTCTAGGAAATACGACAGTACGTTGGGAAGCGTGCAATCCCGATAGGGAGGACGCTGCGGAGGCCATCCGTTACCCAAGGGGGGGATAGATGGCAGAATTTACCTATGGACTAGCCCTAAAAAAGGGGGAGTACGCATAGCAAAGAGTGGTTAGCGGAGAGGGAAGACACGGGTCCGCCCAGGGGGGGGACTTAACCGTGGCGGAATAAGCATATGGGATCGCCTAGTGGGGATCACGCATAGCAGGCACCTATACCCAAAACGCGGGCTGACCAGCGGGCAGACCTACAACGTAGTGGGCCAGCAAGTGACTCCTCCGCTGAGTCAGTGCTGGGGGCCACGGAGGAATCTGCAGGGCTCACCTGACGGGGAACTTTACTGACAGATAAAAAAGGCACACGTACCTCCGTGTTAGGGAGAATGGCGCAGCAAGCGTGTTTCAACACCCTACCGAGTTGTCTCCTCAATCACCAAAGGGTTACCTAATACCCTTGAGGAAACCGGCTCCACTCGCAGATTGTAAAACCTTGCAAATGTGTTGGGTGTCGCCCAGCCCGCAGCTCTACAGATGTCTGTTAGAGAGGCGCCGCGTGCACGCGCCCAAGAGGATGCAACGCTCCGAGTGGAGTGTGCACGTACTGCCGGGGGACACGGCTGACCTCGACTCGAATAAGCGAGTGAAATGGCATCCACAATCCAGTGGGATAATCTTTGTTTCGATACGGCAGTTCCCTGCTGCCGACCGCCATAACAGACAAAGAGCTGCTCAGATGATCTAAAATTCTGAGTACGGTCCACATAAATGCGCAGAGCGCGAACTGGACAAAGTAAAGAAAGGGCTGGGTCTGCCTCCTCCGGGGGCAGCGCTTGCAGGTTCACTACCTGATCTCTAAAGGGGGTGGTAGGAACCTTGGGCACATAACCGGGGCGGGGTCTCAGGATAACGTGAGAGTAATCCGGCCCGAATTCCAGGCACGAGTCACTGACCGAAAATGCCTCCAGGTCCCCGACCCTCTTGATGGAGGCCAACGCAACCAGCAGAGCTGTCTTCAGGGACAGAAATCTTAGAGATACTGATTCGAGTGGCTCAAAGGGATCGGATCGCAGACTCGTGAGAACGAGGGCGAGATCCCAAGAGGGCATGAGAGGGGGGCGAGATGGATTAATTCGCCTAGCACCCCTAAGGAACTGGATGACCAGGTTATGCTTTCCCACGGTGCCGCCAGCTACCGCGCTATGATAAGCGGAGATGGCGGCCACGTAAACCTTGAGAGTGGAGGGCGACAGCCTGCTGTCCAACTTCTCTTGAAGGAAAGAGAGCACAACACTAATCTGGCAATTTCGGGGGTCTTCTCTGCGAGAGACGCACCATTCAGTGAATAGACTCCACTTCAGGGCGTAGGCGCGCCTCGTGGAGGGGGCTCTAGCCTGAGTGATGGTATTAACCACCGCAGTCGGTAGGTTACCTAAGTCTTCCTCGCGTCTAGGGACCACACGTGGAGGTTCCAAAGATCGGGGCGAGGGTGCCAGATGGTGCCCTGTCCCTGAGAGAGTAGGTCCTCTCTCAAAGGGATCCGCCAGGGGAGGGCCGTCGCGAGGAGTGAGAGCTCTGATATCCAGGTCCGGTTGGGCCAAAGGGGCGCAACTAGCAGAACCTGTTCCTCGTCCTCCCTGACCTTGCACAGAAACTGCGCGAGCAGGCTCACTGGGGGAAACGCATACTTGCGCATGCCCCGAGGCCAGCTGTGGGCCAGTGCATCCGTGCCGAGAGAGCCCTCGGTCAGGGAAAAAAACAACTGGCAGTGAGCGTTCTCGGGGGAAGCAAACAGATCGATCTGGGCCTCCCCGAATCGCGCCCATATCAGCTGAACAGACTCGGGGTGGAGTCTCCATTCTCCAGGGCGTAACAGCTGTCGTGAGAGCGCATCGGCTGCACGATTGAGCGTGCCTGGGACGTGAATGGCGCGCAGCGATTTCAGCCGCGGGTGACTCCAGAGGAGCAGACGGCGGGCGAGCTGAGACATGCGGCGAGAGCGCATACCCCCCATGCGGTTGATATACGCCGCCGGCGCCGTACTGTCCGTCCTGACCAGCACGTGTTGCCGCTCCAGCACCGGTAAAAAGCGGTGGAGAGCGAGGAACACTGCCAACAGCTCTAGGCGATTGATATGCCAATGCAGCTGGGCACCCTTCCAGAGGCCCGCAGCCGCATGCCCGCGACACACGGCCCCCCAACCCGTGTTGGAAGCGTCTGTTGAAACAACAACATGGCTGGACGCCTGTCCTAGAGGCACACCGGCCTGTAGGAACGAGGGGTCGTTCCAAGGGCTGAGGGCGCGGCGACACAGCGCAGTAACCGAGACCCGGTGTGTGCCCGCGTGCCATGCGCGTCTGGGGACCCGATCGTGAAGCCAGTGCTGAAGTGGTCTCATATGCAGCAACCCGAGCGGCGTGACGGCGGCTGCGGATGCCATATGCCCCAGGAGCCTCTGAAAGAACTTCAGTGGGACCACTAGTTTGCTGTCGAGCTCCCTCAGACAGTTCAGCAACAGGCGAGCGCGTTCCTCGGAGAGGTGCGCTACCATGGTGATCGAGTCCAGCTCCATCCCGAGAAAAGAAATCCTCTGCACGGGGGCGAGTTTGCTCTTTTCTCGGTTGACCTGAAGCCCCAGTAGGCGGAGATGCCGAAGCACCTCGTCCCTGTGCATAATCAATTGCTCCCGCGAGTGGGCTAAAATCAGCCAGTCGTCGAGATAACCGAGTATGCGAATGCCCGCGAGCCGAAGGGGCGCTAGGGCACCCTCCGCGAGTTTGGTGAAGACCCGCGGAGACAGAGAGAGCCCGAAGGGGAGGACCTTGTACTGCCACGCTCGACCCTCGAACGCAAACCGCAGAAATTGGAGGTGGCGTGGAAGAATGGAGACATGGAAATACGCGTCCTTCAGGTCTATGGCTGCAAACCAATCCCGAGGACGAACGCATTGGAGAATGCGCCTCTGCGTGAGCATTCTGAACGGCAGCTTGTGCAGACAGCGGTTCAAAACGCGCAGATCTAGGATTGGCCGTGACCCACCGCTCTTTTTGGGTACGATGAAGTATGGGCTGTAAAACCCACTCTCCATCTCGGCTGGAGGAACCGGCTCGATTGCACCCTTCGCCAGGAGGGCAGCAATCTCCTCTCGCAAGACAGGGGCGGACAGGGGGTTGACCCTGGAGAAATACACGCCCGTAAACTTGGGGGGCCGTTTCGCGAACTGAATCGCGTAACCGAGTCTGATTGTGCGTATGAGCCACCGCGAGGGGCTGGCCCGCGCTAACCAGGCAGGCAGAGCCCTCGCTAATGGAGTCATCGCTACAATCGCTGACGTACCAGCGGTGGGGCAGCGCGGAGTGGGTGTGCTGATCCGAGAAGCACGAGGGTCCCGCGGAAAAGCTGGAGGAGAGCGATTCGCTCTGGCTCCGCACCCTGACTCCGGAGAGGGGGCTGGAGGGCTGAGGGAAGGGAGACCGTCCCCCCAGCGCTCGTGAGCCACTGGCGAAGCACGTAGAGTCTGCGAGCCGGAAGGCAGCGCGTCCCGGACTGGCAGAACTCGTGCAGTCACATCCGGGGAAGGGAAAAAGTGCTCTTTTACTGATGTTTTGGTGGCACTGAAAAGTACCGTTGTTATCGGGGCCCCGCCCTCCAGCGGGGAAAGAGCAAGTTTCCTCTTCTCCGGATGGCCTGTCTCAGGGACGCTTCGCGGTCCGTTTACCGGACTTAACGGCGCCCCGGGCAGGAGGGGCTGCCTGCTTTCGAGGTGAACGCCGCGCCCGCTTGGCCAGAGGCGCAGGCGGGGGCGGGGCAGCACTCGTTGGCGGGCGCCCTCGGCGAGGAACAGCGGAGGTGGATGGCTCGGCGGGCGGAGCGGGCTTACGGCCACGCCGATAGATGACATTGCCCATCGCATCCGACTGCTCTTTCACCGCCTTGAATTCCTGGGTGAATTCACCGACGGTGTCGCCGAACAGGCCAGCCTGGGATATGGGCGAGTCAAGAAAGCGAACTTTGTCAACGTCGCGCATATCGGCCAGGTTTAGCCAGAGGTGGCGTTCCTGAACCACAAGTGTGGACATCGTCCTCCCCAGCGCACACGCGGCGGACTTAGTAGTCCGAAGAGCATAGTCGGTCGCGGTGCGCAGCTCATGTAATAAGCTTGGGTTGGACCCGCCCTCGTGCAGCTCGGCCAGCGCCTGCGCTTGGTAGCGCTGGTAGGTGGCCATCGCGTGCAAAGCAGAAGCAGCCTGGCCCGCAGCCTTATAAGCTCTGGCTCCGAGGGAGGCAGACAACCTACAGGCTTTGGACGGGAGGCGGGGCAAACCCCGCCACGTAGAGGCGCCGCGCGGACAAAGATTGACCGCGATAGCGCGCTCCACTGACGGGATCGCCTCATACCCCCTGGCAGCTCCGCCGTCAAGGGCGGTGAGGGCGGAGGCACTCGCAGCACGGGCAGAGAAAGGTGCCCTCCAGGACTGCGTGAGCCTACTGTGCACTTCCGGGAAGAAGGGGACGAGAGGCTTCAAAGGCTTCGCCTTCTGGTCCTCTACGTAGCACCCATCTAGTCGGTCCGGCCGCGGAGCTGGGGGATAAACCATCTCCAACCCCACGGCCGAAGCAGCCCGGGAAAGCACGGCTAACATGTCCGCTTCAGGATCCGATTTGACAGCGCTCACCTGCCCGGAGGGGGCGAGCGGGTCCGGATCTTCGTCGGACAGTGAAAGCCCACCCTCCGATGCCGCGGAGGACATCTGATCTCCGGTGTCAGCGAGTGTGAGAGCTACCATCTGGTTAGACGGATCACTCTCACCACCCGAAGCTTGGATGGAGCGCCGTGAGGAGCGAGAGGTCCGCGAGCCCGTGGGCGGCGGATTAGCTCCCGCTGAAACCCTCAGATCTGCCCGAGCGCCCGCTGCTTTTTTAGAACAGGAGGCAACTGGGGTGGCTCGCTCTCTTGCGAAAGTTAGCCGCGATCTTAGCTGTGCAACGGTCATGGCATCGCAATGACGACATGAACCGCCCGCGAGCACCGCATTAACATGCTGGACCCCCAAACATGCAATGCAGTGATCGTGTCCATCATCCGGAGACAGGAAACCCCCGCATCCAGAAACGCACAGTCGGAGCGCCATCCTGAAAAGGACGTGCTGCACGACTGTGTTGCTCTTTTAGGAAAGTTGCAACTATACGCACCGCTCTGGAGGACCGGACCCAAAGAACCGCAGGCAAGGGAGTAACCCAGCTCGACCGTCTGCCACCGCGAAGACCCACTCTGGACCGGGAGACACACTCGTTCGCTCTGAAGTGCTGATCAGCAAGAGGAACCCTCATCGACTCACTCAGAAAGGATCTGAAGCGAAAAGGATGGCGTCTGCTGGCTTCAGGTGTGCTTATATGCTGAGATAATTGCAGATGTCGCACACCTGCGCAAGCTTACGCTGCCAATTAATTTCATTCATTGGCCCGTTCAATACTCTCCAGATAAGCGGCTTCTGATCCGAATCCTCCCATTCATGGCACTGAAGTTCCCCAACCGAAGGGGAACTAGTAATGATGATTTGTCATTATAATTAGCATTTTGTAAATATGTAAAACGGTTGTTTCATAATATTTTCATGGTGTGATAGACATAAAAAATATATCCTTTGTTTCATCTTTTGGTTTCCTTATGGTCTACTATGTTTTTTTATTCACATATTAATTCTTTAATGCTGCATTTCAATACACTAGTACAAAACTTATGCTTTAGCAATTTTTAGAAAGCATATTCTTCTGTTAACCTTGGTTCGGGCCAGAATTGGTGCTCCTTTTTCGAGCAGTATTTCCACAGCGCTATCATGCCCACTTCTGGCAGCACAGTGCAGAGGTGTCAGTCCATCCTGTACAATAGACAAACAGCAAATATGAAAACACGAAGATATAAAATCACATACAGAACAATATATATTATTAAAACGCACGCAAATGCACATAAAACACAGCAAATCAGCAATCCACGTTCATATTTTTAATCTCTCATTGTTTCCTTTTATATTTATGTTTAATTAAGAATCCTCCATCAGAGCTGTTGTTAAGGAAACAGACGCTAGAGAGCGCCATAGTTCAGACTTTTATTGAATTTTGACCAACCCGAGGCACTGCCTAAAAACTCACCCTGGTCTTGGCATCAATCTGAGATCCCCTGTCCAGCAGCAGAGCGATCATGTTGGTGTTTCCTCGTTTGGAGGCCACGTGAAGAGGGGTAATTCCATTCTAAACAGACAATACATCTTTTAGGAAAGATAATGCATTCATGGGTGAAAATACAGTGACGGAAATAAAACACTAATGAGCTAATGTCGGTTTCTGATTAAACCTGGCTAATTTTTTTCAGTCTATACAAGACAACCCAGGTGAATGAATAAAAAAATATATATATGCAGTTGATTGATAACACTAAGAATTGCACTATTGTTATTTGGAAAATAAGCTAATTTTACACAAAAAAAATCCCCCTGAAACCTTTAAAATAGGAATGATAACAATGGTATTAGTTGTTCATTGCATATAAGTGCTATGAAGTTAAGATTTCTGGCTCAGTATCTTAAAATATGTATTTTAGGAAAATAGCTTTATAGCATGTCTATGATATATCTAGAAGCAAACAAACTAAACGCTTAAAAGTGCAAATGAAAAGAAAAATCAAATCGACCGAAATCTCAAAAATGACCAATGCATGAAAAAAAACGCTCATGTTTTTTAAGCATTTGTTCAAATACTTTGCGCCTAATTCACAACCTGTGTATGCACATATGTTTAGGAGTATTCTAAACGATCACCTACATGCGTGAAGTAATTTGCATACCACACCCTATTTATCTCAATATAAGGACTTTCTGCACAACCTTTACTTTACTATACTTGTTAATATGCTGTTATTTACAGTGCATGTTAGCATACACCCTACTTACTGTGAGAGCAATATTGTTAAGCCAATTGTGCCCTTCTCAAAACATTCGTACAATTACTTAATTTTTAATCTGAATTGTTATTCAAAGAAACCACTTGCTATAAAGAGGAAGTAGGGTCACACTTTATTTTGATGGTCAGTTTGTTGCATTTAAGTTACATTGCATCTACTTGCCAACCTATTCTCATTAGATTATAAGTAGACTGTAAGGTTGGGGTTAATGTAAGCTGACATGTACTTGCAAAGTTTCTTGTAGTTAGTTAAATGTCTGTTGAAGGAGCAGTATAAACAGATATTAAGCAGACAGTCTACTAATACTCGAATGATCCATCAAAATAAAGTTACCGAAGGTTGTTTCTTTAAATGTAAATTTATATATAATATATTATTTCTCTCTAGATATAAATCTGTATTATATTTTGTTTAATTAAACATACATATACACTCACAGTAAGTGGTATTTTGTGTATGTTGTTTTAGTTATTCAGAAACATAAGATAAATTGTAATCCTGAAGATAGAACTTTTTGAAAATCTGGAATCTGAAGGTTAAACAAATCCAAATATTAACAAAATCCAAATCATCAATTCCAATCACTAAATAAAATTGTGATTTTTCATATTATTACAGTAGGAAATATACTAAATAACATCAAATGATCTTTGCTTAATAGCCTAGTGATTTTTTGCATAAAACAAAAACCAATAATTTTGACTATTGCCAAATATATGCCAGTGCAACATAAGACCGAGGTTTTGTGGTACAGGCCATGGTTTTTTAGTAATCCAAATTTTAATTTCATACACAAATTAGTTTATACACATAAAAAAATCCATGAATTAGCATCCATAAATTATTATTTATTTGTTTGCTTTTATTTATGCTTTTAAATTGCATTATAGGACGTTGATCTTTTTTCTAGGCTTGGGCGGTAATACGGTATACCGCAGGATCTAAAAATAGCAATGGTATCAGTTTCAATACCGATATACTGTCAAAAAAACAATGCACTTTTAGGAGACGAGGATGTTGGAGGTGGTTGTCATCATGGGACAGCGTGGAGGAGAAAGAGAGAGGTGGGGAAAGATGGCAAGTTGCACACCAAGTGACCTGGTCTGGAAAACGAACACAACTTCTGCAGTTTTGCAGAGTTTTGGGTTTCGAGTAAATGAGAAGGGAGAGGTGGTAAATATGGAAGAGGTAATTTGCAAATTGCAAAAAAAGTGTTGAGATGGAAATACTTCAAATCTAACGTCGCACATATGATATTCATTTTCTGAATGGTTTACGCACAAGCCAACAGTTTCGTGATGCTGTCTGAGCCTTAGATCATATTTTTTTTCATTATGCACGATAATACTGAGGTAAAATAGGGAGGAGGTTTGATGGTATCATAATTTGTATACCGCCTAAGCCTACTTTCTTCCAACAACTTTTAACCTTGACAAATTTGAAAAAGTGACTTTTATTAACATTTATATGTATATATGTATATATTATATGTATATGACAAAATCATCCCAGATATATTTTTGTATATTAACCGTAATTATTTTACAGACTTATTTTTCGATATATTGTTTCTTATCCATTATATTATTTCAAATTACTAAAATGTCAATTTGTTAAATGGTAGAGTTGAATTTTCTACATCGAAAGTTGACAGAGCAGAGATCAACATCCCATAATGCAATTCACAACTGTAAAATAAACAGAAAACCGGTGTGAATCACAAAATACGTAAACTGTTAATTACCAGATATTTAAACCCAATGTTTTTGCAAGGATATAACAGTATGAGCTCATACCCTGGCTGTGAAGTCTACAGCAGCCCCTCTGTTGAGCAGCAGCGTGGCCACATTTACATTCCCATAATGAGCAGCAATATGTAGAGGAGTGAAGCCACTCTGATACACGGTGGAATAGTTTTAGGATAAAACAAGGAACAGAACAAGAGACAGAGAAACAGAGTAAATATAAAGATCTTCTATCTCATTTTAAACATCCATCCTTAATGATCTACCATGCAGCATTCCAATGAACCATCACATTTGTGCAAAAAATAAAGAAAGAATGGAAAAGTTAAAGAAATGTCTGGATTCTCATCTGCTACCAATGGATCAGCATGCACTAGAGTGAATGAACAGGGGAGGAAAAAAAACGTTAATGGAAGGAAAAACCGAAAGATTATATTTGTATGATAATAATATATGAGCACATTCCAGTGAGCCTTTGTTAAAGAGATGAGAAGTTTCTCAGTGACAATGACAGAAAAAAGGATGATGAATAAAAATATCTGAACAAACAAATGTGATTCATCAACTACTCACTACTACATGTTGCTAAAGATGAATGTATAGATAGGAAATTGGCATTGTCTGTCTTACTGAGTTTGTCTGATGGAGCCTTTTTTCTTACCTTTCCATTCTGACAGACATGGTGCGATTTAGAAAACACAGTTAACAAAAAGGTGCAGCAAAATGTGACCGAGAGACTTCTACAAAGAGTGACAGAATGAGTTTGCATGCACAATTACAGTACGTCTGTTCAGTCTGTTTGTAAAATTATGAGAAGTGTTTAACCTACTTAAAGCAACACTCCGCTTTTTTTTTTTTTTTTTTGTAAATAGGCTCTTTTTTAAAGTCATCTTGAGTTAAACCGTTCAGTTTTACCATTTTTAAAAGCCAATCAGCCGATCTCCAGGTTTGGCAGGAGCACTTTTAGCTTAGCTTAGCATAAATCATTGAATCGGATTAGACCATTAGCATCTCACTAATTTTTCTTTTTTTTAATGATTTTTAAGCATTTTTATATTTCACAAATTACAAATAAAACAAACAAGCCTTAAAAAATATAAGTAAATCAAACAAATAAAATGGGCGAGGCAGTGGCGCAGTAGGTAGTGCTGTCGCCTCACAGCAAGAAGGTCGCTCGGTCGAACCTCGGCTCAGTTGGTGTTTCTGTGTGGAGTTTGCATGTTCTCCCTGCCTTTGCGTGGGTTTCCTCCGGGTGCTCCGGTTTCCCTCACAGTCCAAAGACATGCAGTACAGGTGAATTGGGTAGGCTAAATTGTCCGTAGTGTGTGTGTGGATGTTTCCCAGAGATGGGTTGCGGCTGGAAGGGCATCCGCTGCGTAAAAACTTGCCGGATAAGTTGGTGGTTCATTCCGCTGTGGCGACCCCGGATTAATAAAGGGACTAAGCCAACAAGAAAATGAATGAATGAATGAATAAATTAAATAAAACCCAATTACATAAGTAAATGAGGGGCAGATATTTACATTTATGCAACAAACTCAAAGTTACAATTCAAGTAATAAAAGATTACAAACTGATGTGTTATTATTGTTAAGAACTAGCAAGGGTGATCAGTCTAGATCCAGCTGGAGAGTTTTTTTTTAACCTTATTATACAGGACTAGGGAGTTGAGACTGGAATTCATGGAAAGCAGAGAGTGGGGATAGGATCTGCAAAGGAACTTGAGCCGGGAATCGAACTCGGGTCGCTGTGAGCATGGGTCACCAGTCTACTGGCGTCAAACAGCTGGAGAGTTTTAACAAGAAAAAAGGGCTTCCAGATTTTAACAACATTCTGTTATGTCTTTGAAGGGAGTTTCTAATCTTCTCTAGTTTCACAAAATACAGAACATCTTTCAGCCATCGTACATGCGAGGCTGGCCAGGGTCTCTTCCAGTTTAATAAAATTACAAGTCTAGCAAGCAATGTAAGAAAAGTCACAAAGTTTAAAACGTCAGTGGGTATTGTATAATTAGGCATCTCACCAAACAATAATAGGTGACGGTGCTATATTTATAGAAGTAATGGCTGAAAGAGAGTATGAAATACTGCACTCCCAAAATGAGGAAAGAGCTGAACATGTTTAGAATACATGGGATGAAGTGCCTAAACCCGAATGACACCTATCACACTACAGATCAATAGTTGGGTCGATCTGTGTGAGCCTACAATTCAACCAGTGTACTCAGTGAACCACTTTACATTGAATAAGGCAGTGACGTGTGCATATAGATGGGGAATGAACCTGCTTTATGTATCCTGGTCTTTTTCATTATTGATGGTTCGCAGGTAAGCTGGTGCGGAGACTGTCAACTGGAAGAAGCTGTAAAAACATCAGGAACATTGGAAAAACCTGGGAAGTGTTTGCAATAAAGTCACATACTGTACTTATAAATATCTAAAAATAATTAATTTCATGGTCCGGCAGCAAAGTTCCTTGATTATTAATCCAGAATGAGAGTAGAGATCCTGGCCATGATCAACCTAGAAAATATTAACTTTTCATTTCTGTCATACTTACATAGATGTAACTTCAGAAAATAGGAAAAATAAAAACAGATTTTTGAATGCGATGCTAATGGTCTAATCTGATTCAATGAATGATGCTAAGCTATGCTAAAAGTGCTCCAGCCAGACATGGAGATCAGCTGAATGGATTCAAATATGGTAAAACTTAGCTATTGAACTCTAGGTGACTTGTAAAATGAGCCAAAATAATTTAAAAAATAAAGTTCCTTGATCAAGAAACCTTGATTCCTACTCAAAATGTTCACTGAAATAATTGTGTTGATGAGCAAGAAACCCCTATAGGTTTTTTTTTTTTTTTTTTGAGGAAACACGGTGCTACTAATAAAACAAAAACAACAATGTGGCATGCGCTACGACACTGATAAGGACTCCATGCACTGTAAGAGAAATTGTCAGTGTTAAGTAACACATTAGGCTTTATAACAGCCGAGACGAATGCAGGATTCTGCTGAGAGTCTTAATACCTCTGTAGTCCTGTTGACCATCATCTGACAGAGTCGCACATGAGGGAGGAAATGCAGCATTTTTAGTAACATTAAATACATGTTTAACTGTCAAAAGCACTAACATAATTAAGTGAACATACAAAGGCAAGCAAATGTTTTTATATTACACTCAGTAGCTGCAGGATTAATGACTTGATAAAACATTGGAAATTAATAATAATAATAATAATAATAAAAAGCTTAAACTAAATCTTTGAACAATGTACAGTGATTCTATGGTAAAATGATGGTATAAGAGTCAGAGACAAGACTGTTTAGTTGATGAAAGTAATTTAATATAAATTCGACATAACATATATATTTTAAAGTAAAATTTAAACATTGTTCTGAGATATTAATGTACGTTAGAGAATAATTCATGTGAATGTTATTATAATTGACATGATTAAACACTTCATGCTGACCAATGGCAAAATTCTAGTGGTGTGATGGACACTGGTAATGTAAATATTTATGATTATTACAATGAATTGTTTTTGGGACTGCCATATAATCATTTGAGTCCCTGTGAGTCTTTTAAAATATAATTTTAATATTTCTGTTCTAAATATGCCTTAACAATTAAATATGCTTTAATAGTTTTCTACGTAATCTATTGTTTAGCTAAAAATACATATGTTTTCCATTATATATTCAATCAATCAATAAAAGAGGCTAAATTTGAACGTACTATATTCTGTTTGAATTCATTTAATGCTCAAAAATATGAATCAATTCATTCATTTTCTTTTTGGCTTAGTCCCTTTTATTAATTTGGGGTCGCCACAGTGGAATGAACCACAAACTTATCCAGCATACCTGTATGTTTTACACAGCGGATGCCCTTCCAGCTGCAACCCAGTACTGGGAATGTTTTAAAATATATGTTTTCCATAATTTTTTCGATAAATCTATAATAGAGGGAAAAATTTAAATGTACTATATTACATTTTAATTGAATTGATGCATGAAAGCCCCTTTTCATCTTAGCTCAATAAGTGTTCAACACATTGATATAACAAGTATTTACATAATCCAACAAACTCAATACTATGCTGAATGTTGAAACAATGCATAATTATGTCCAAATATGTTTTTATTATGATGAAACAGGGTTATTTTAATACTACCATATACTACAGATATACTAATATAGTTAATTTTTACACACATTTTATTTTTGTATTTATTTATTTTTGAATTTAAGTCTTTTTTTAATGTGTGAACGTTTTTGCCATTATTTAATACATGTATATTATGTTTATATAGTATTCAAATGTATATGTATATAGTATTACATACTTTAAGTTTAGTAATTTCACTACATCAACATATTAAATGAATGTGAAAAATATACAAATATACATAGGTTAAAAGTTTACATTTTTTTATATTATTTCATTATTATTTGAAGGAACATAAATGACTTTGTTTTTAGTTTTAGGTTACCTTAATAGACCTCAAAAGTATTGTTATATGAATACACATTTGCATGATAGAATTACTGTGATAGAATATCTGTGGCAAAGCATGAACACTGAATCCCCACTATTGTTCTCACCTTAGACTGGACATCAGCGTTATGGTCATTCTGGAGCAGCAGAGCAGCAGATTTGGTGTCATCCTTGCGGGCAGCTATGTGGAGTGCAGGCAGACGGACTTTCCCTTTCGTGTCGTGTTCAAGAAGCAGAGAAACTACCTGATTATGACCCTGCTGGAGAGCAATGGCCAGAGGAGTGAAGCCATCCTACAAAAACACAGTGAAAAGATAGATAGATAGATAGATAGATAGATAGATAGATAGATAGATAGATAGATAGATAGATAGATAGATAGATAGATAGATAGATAGATAGATAGATAGATAGATAGATAGATAGATAGATAGATAGATAGATAGATAGATAGATAGATAGATGAGAAAGAGAGAGGGTGATTAACAATCATCATTAAAACAATATTCGAAACAAACAAAAGGAGCTTCAGAGGGGATTCTTTAAGCATGCAAAATCATCACTCCAAGGCACTCTATAAAGTAGTAATAACAGTTTCAAAAAGTATATAAAATATTGTATATTAAAAACAGCATTTGTTGTTCATTTAAACAAGCATTATGTCACATGACTAGATAATTAGATATCTAAACAATACAGAAAATGGTATGACTCACTCAATACAACATAGTAAGAATATATGTAGAAAGAAAGACATGTAATATAATAATCAAAATCACACTGTAAATAAGAGCTGCAAAATTGAGAGAATTACAAATCTCATTTAAACAGAGATCACAAATATCAAAAAATTCTGAACAGACATCAAAATAAAAGGTAATTTACTAAAGGTTTAACAAAAAAACAAAAAAAACACATGAAGATTTACCGTTATTAAGTGAAGTTTTTTCATAAACTAATTTAGAGAGGAGCACGTGATTATGATTGAACACGGCTGGTTCTGCATTAGCATGCATGATCCACCAATCAGGCCATTCCTAACCCACTATAAAGAGCCAGGGTTTTTTCACTACAGTCATCTTCGATTTGAAGAATCCCCCCTTCCACCCCTACCTCTTCACCTTTCCCTCCATAGGGCAGCACGGTGGCCCAGTGATTAGCACTGTTGCCTCACAGCAAGAATGTCAACGGTTCTAGTCCTTTAACAGGCCGGTGGTCGTTTCTGTGTGTTGTTTGCATGTTCTTCCCGTGCTTGCGTGGGTTTTCCCCGGGTCCTCCGGTTTCCTCCCACATTCCAAAAACATGCACAACAGGTAAATTGATAAATCTAAATTTTGCACTACAGTTAATCTCTCACCCTGCAGAACATCTTTTCATTGCATTCAATTTTTAGTCATCAGTTTTTATCAAGGGGGAGTTGTCGAGATCTACCTGAGTTCAAGGCTTCCCTCTCGCCCTTTTAAACGGGAGGGAGCCCAGGGCTCAAGAACCTTTGAGCTCAGGGCTCTTTCCCGGGACAGCATGCCAAACTTGCTTATAATCAATCATCAGCTAAGTGTGAACTCTTGAAATGACAGTGAAACCCCATATTTTACCTATATGCGTGTAGCCACTTATTTGCATAGATATAGTGTCATGCTATTTTATTAATTCTATTTTGACCGCTACTCTATATATCAGTGTTTATATCTGAAATACAACCTGATAGCATTATTAAAATGTTGAAGCTTCAAGTGATTTATTCTATTTTGTTTGCGACTCTTGGCGTCAGTGTTTATATCTGAACTATAAACCGACAGCATAATTGAAACATAACATGTACTTGAAGCATTTATAAACTGTTATTCCTGTCTCTCTGAGATAGTTTGAGTGTTTGTAATAAACATAGCCTTCATGAAAACGGCTGTCTCTGGGTCAAAAGCAGACTTGAAAGTACAGCTGTGATCAGGATTAACAAACATCACCATAGGACATTTAACATAGGAGCTATTACATTAGCAGGCTCCAATACTCATGAATCTGCCTAAAGCAGATTTAACTCGGCTAGTCATTCTCACATTTACCCTGACTTTAAAATCGTTTTGCTTTCACGAATCAAACATGCCTATTTCATGCTATTTCAAACCCGTTAATTTTCTTTAAATTTATTTTAAAGTTATCAAGATATTTTGAAGATGTAGGTAACCAAATTGTACATTGGGGCTGCAATAACAGTCTGTAAATACTTCTAAATGTCAATACAGATGCGGATTCTGGGGGAAAAGTAGCCAAAAAGTTCCTGTGTAATATTTTCTATCTTGAATATTATCAAAAGAGTTTGAATTCCTATCACCAACATGCAAAAGATATAGCATTGTCATACCTACATCATTATACAAATTTGCGTTAAATTTGTGGTACAAATTTCTGTTATGTCACAAAAGCATGCAAGCACACACACACACACACACACACACACACACACACACACACACACACACACACACACACACACACACACACACACACACACACACAAATGTTGTTTATATGGTTAATGAGGACTCTCCATAGACATAATGGATTCTATAGTATCTCTACTGTAAAAACAGCTTTTTATAACTTTATTTATAGAGCATACCCCTATGCCTAAACCCAACCCTCACAGGATAACTGTGGTAAATTGAATGTGAATAATATGGTTTTTAAACATATTGAATTACAAGGACACAAGGCATGTCTTCGTAAACCAACTTAATAAAGTACAACTAGGTCAAACCCATGTCATTATGCAATTTTGTGTCTGTGTGAACCACATAAACAAGTACGCACAAAGAGAAAGAGAGAGAGAGAGAGAGAGAGACAGAGAGAGAGAGAGAGAAAGAATTGTCAATCACAAACCTCTGTGGCCATGCTCTGGTTTCCGCCGTTCTCCAGTAGATATCGCACAACATCCAGGTGATTCTCTTGAGCAGCCATATAAAGCGGAGTGAAGCCATTCTGGAGTAAAATGCAGGTTACCATGAAGATTAATATAATAATCAATTATTATATGATGTTGTTTTATTATTACATTATAAATACTTTAGTTTCATCATTCAAAAATGAAAATAATTATTTTGTGTATTATGCGATTATTTCTTATAATAATAACTTTTTTCAGGCTTCTCTCACCTGAGATTGAGAGTTCACATCTGCTGTTTTTTTCACCAACAACTTTGCGACTTCTTTCTGCCCAGCAAGACAAGCGATGTGCAGTGCAGTGTTTCCTTTCTGAATAGGACAGAAAGATACGTATTCACATTTAATTACTGCATTTATTTGTATTCTGTACAGAGTGAGTTACTTGGGTAGCAAGATTGCACAAGATCCACTCAAAAAAGCAACCCAGGCTCATTCTGAATACGAACCTCTATATAGATTTCTGGAGAGCGCCAAATACATCCTAGAAGCTACTTTTTTTTTTTGCAGTTTTTATTTTTGCGAATCCACCAAAGGCCGCTGTGTACATTTTTTTAATATCTCAAATTTTTCTCGCGAGTGCCATTCGTGCCTGCTCTTCTTGCTTAAATCCACCAGAGGCTGCTGTCGACTTTCTGTTTGATTGACTGAATGACTGACTGATTAATTGACTGACCCATCCTCCTCCTTCCCTAAACCCAACCAATAGTGTTTTCAATAGCACAGATTGACCTGTCTATTCACTTCCCTAAACCCAACAGACAGTTTTAAAAAGTAATTCAGAAAAAGAAAAGCCCTCGCCTGATTTTTATCATGTTTTCAGATTTTACTACATTCTCACCCTTTTATTTACTTGATTATTTAATTTTTTTGACTTTATTTTTGTCTTTCCCACTTTCTGGAACATTCGTCACTAGACTCGATCCTCGCTGTCGTGGGCAAGTTCTCTTTGCGTCTTAAGTCCACCGACGTGCATGGAGAGCTACTGGACAAACTAGTAGCAGCGGGAAAGCCGTCCATACGGAGGTAAGCGGTCAGCTGGTAATTGCGAAAAGGAATGGCGTCATACCACCTGTAGTGTTCATTTTAAAAATTAAATGCAGCCATACATACTTTTGACTAATTTGCAATCTCAAGAAATGTATATAGGGCTACGTTTTCAGAATGAGCCAAGTTGCAAAAAAAAAAAAGACATTTGCTGCTTTTTCTAACAACTTATTTAAAATGAGCTGAAACAACACAATTCTGGAAATTTTCAAGTGATAACTTCATTGTTTTATGTTCAATCCTCTTAAATGTGTTATGTTGACCTAATCGATTTATGTTGAGACAGCATAAATAAATAGTTTGGAACCCTTCATTTTTTTTTTTACAGTGTATTAGGTCTTACACAACCTGTCAAAAGATTGAAAACATTCCAACGCAATCTCACAGCAATTCGTAACTTTTTAATTTAGTGGCTAATTTGTATGCATTTGTACAATCTAATTCGTACAATTTAGTACGATTTGCTCATCACCCAATGACGGTTAGGGTTGGGGGTAGGGTTGGGTGCCACGCCTTCTTTTTAAAATTGCACATTTTCGTACGATTGAATTCGTATGAATTCGTACGAATTAGCCACTAAACTGACAAAGCGTAAAATACTTACGTTTCCTTGTGAGATCAGGCTGAAACAATCACATTTGTAAATGTTTTTAAATGTGATTGTGTTTTCATGAATAAACCATTTTAAAATTTAATATTGGACAAAATCAGTGCATTTATTGTCTTTTGGATCTAATAAGACATTGTTAAAAATCATCAGTAATCCAGAAAATATCCTGAATATTTATTATAATATAAAGTAAAACAGAGAAAAAAACAGTATATTGAGTATATATTAATTTCCCTAAAGCTGTATTTTATCAAGCACAAAACTAACACAATTCAGTGACATTTAAGCTCAAAGAGACAGTTGACCCAAAACTGGAAATTTTGTTTTGTTATAATTTTTTCACCCTTTACTTGTTTCAAATCATTGTGATACAAGAACGCTGGAAACCTGAAGCCATTGACTTTTGTTTCATACTATGGAAGTCAATGGTTACAGGATTACAGCTTTCTTCAAAATCTCTTCTTTAGTCTTCAACTGAATAAAGAAACATATAAAGGTTTGGAATCACCAGAGGTTGAATAAATACTTAGCAAATGTTCATTTTTGGGTGAACTATCCCTTTTTAAGCTATTGATCATAAATCTATCTGCCATTTTGTGCCTGCATAAGACAAATGACCTGATTTGCTCTCTGCTGTCCTAAAAAACAGAAAGGACTTTTGTAGATCTTGTCCATAATAAAACAAATGGTATGAAAAAGCACTAAAATAATCACATTTTTGACCGACATAAAGTCTCCAAAGCTTTCGTCCCTGCAGTATAAAGCTCTCGCTGTCAGTGTGATTGCTGCTTATTTGTTTACAGTCAGTGCGAGTGCTTGTGTGTGTGCATTTGTGTGTGTGTCCGTCAGATGACAGAAGTCACCCGAGTCCTGCTCTGCTCATCATATTCCTGGATGTCTGTCATTCTCTCTGGTCATTTGGGAATCATGTGTCCAGTTTGTGAGTGTTTATGGGTGTTTAACCTTGGTTGAGGAGTCCACAGCCGCCCCTCTCTCCAGAAGCTCCTCCACCAGCTCCACGTGACCCTCTTTGGCTGCGAGATGAAGCGCATTGAGTCCGTTCTGAACATGTGGAGGGAGAGAAATGATTAAAAAATGTATTAATGCAGATTTGATGTTAAGTTATTAGGGAAATCAGGAAATAAACAATTGCTCATTATTCACAATATCACAGTCAATCAAGAAATAAATGCTGTAAAATAATCTAAACTCAAAATGTAAGATATATATTAACAAATGGTTATTTAATTTACTGTTGCCTTTCTTTCAGCTCGAATGAGTCTGGCCATTCTCCTCTGACCTCTGGCATCAACAAGACATTTGCGCCCATTCTGTAAACCCTAAAGATGGTTGTGCATGAAAATCCCATTAGATCAGCAGTTTCTGAAATACTGAGACCAATCCGTCTGGCACCAAAAAACATGCCATGTTCAAAGTCACTTAAATCATCTTTCTTCTCCATTCTGATGCTCGGTTTGAACTGCAGCATATTGTCTTGACTATGTCTACATGTCTAAATGCATTCTGTTGCTGTCATGTGATTGGCTGATTAGAAATTTGTGTTAACGAGCAGTTGGACAGGTGTACCTAATAAAGTGGCCGGAAAGTGATATCGGTAAATAACGGTAAATAACTAAATAATAAAATAATAATACAATTAAACACATATTAATGAATATATAGCATTCAGTAAGTCAATCAGACAAATTATGATTTTATTGTATATAGATTTTTAATTATTTTATATTTCCTCAGACCCCAGTTTGAAAATCCCACACATTAAGAAATAAATGCCTTGAAATAAACTAAAACTCAAGCTGTAAGCTGCTGTGCTGTTTCATTTTATTTCTTACACTGGATTGTATATATTAAAAATCACGGAAATTACAAACATCTAAGACATCTAAGATTTATATATATTTTTTTCCCAGATATTTTAAGCTCTAAAATTATATATTTTAAAATATTTTGCAATTCATGTCTTAAACATAATAAACAATAACTAAATGCAAATGTTCTCATAATAATTATAATTATTATTTTTTTATTCTATTATAATTTCTGTTTTTAATTATATATATTTTTAACTACATATTGCTTTTAAACATGACATAAATATGTAACTATTTATTTAAATAAATGTAAATTATACATTAAAATGATGTAGGTAAATAATTGTATATAATAAAACAATAAAATAACATTTAAAATAAAATAACATAAATAACTATATTTTGTGAGTCGGCCACATTACCATTTTACTGTATATTTTATACAATTTCTTTTACTTTAATTTATTTTTTACTTTTCTCCAGAGCTCCATTTGAAATTCCCATGCGTACAGAATAGACATTACAGAATAATTATTACATATTTTAGCTGTTATATCACATCCAAAGTCACTTATGTTATTAGTAACTCAAGCTTCCGTGTTAAGCGTGGAATTGTAGCATTTAATCTTTTTTTCTCATGCTGCAAATAGGCCTTCCCTTTATCAGCACCTGTCTTCATCTACTAATGCAACTCGTCCCGTGTCTGACAGCTCTTGTGTAACATTCAGACTCGTCAGTGACAGCGGAGAGAATTAACCGCACACTAATCTCATTTATTTGGATAATGAAAGCTGGAGGACTTTTTCACATCCGAAGAGAGGGATTCCGGTGAAAGAGTGGAAAGGGGGAAAAACAGCTAAAACATGGGCAGATTATATTGCAATATCACTCAGCGAGGATTAGAAGAGTGGAGTTTAGAGAAAAGGGCATGAAACGTCTGTCCATTGTTGTGCTCGTTACTGCTGACTCCACATAACATCATAAGAGAAAATGACAGAGTAAAACCTATTATAATTCACATGTTATGTAATAAAGGGGTCATAAAAATCCTATGGTATTGAACTTTTAAAAATAAATAAGTAATCATACTGTAAAAAAAAAGTTGCAAAACATGAATAAGCTATTTATTTTATTTGGTTGCCTATCTATTTATGCTATTGCATTGCATTTGAGGATTCAGATCTTAGCTCTGACTCTGACTTTAAATACCAAAGTGACTTTTATTTACATTTCTAGTTTGAAATGATAGATAAAATTATAAAGCAATTAGCTGAAGTTTGTTTATAAACTAATTTCGAGAGGATCACGTGCTTATGATTTATCACAGCCGGTCTCGTATTAGCTTATCATGATTATTGAGTCCTATAAGCTACTATAAATAACCACAGTCTTCAGTCCATTTTATCTTTGTTTGGAAGAAATCCCCTTCCTCCCCATTCTCCTCCTTTACCATAGATCGGGCGGCACGGCGGCCCAGTGGTTAGCACTGTTAGCCCCACAGCAAGAACACTGCCGGCCGTGGTTTTGCCAGGTCGGTGGGCGTTTCTGTGAGGAGTTTGTATATTCTCCCCATGTCCGTGTGGGTTTTCCCCAGGTTCTCTGGATATACATCATGCATAACAATCAAGCACTTGTCTAGCCCTCTTTTTCTCACGTGTTTACTTAGCTACTGGAGCGGGGGAATTCTGAGTTTCACCTAGCTCAAGCTACCCTCTGGCTCTGCGAACGGGAGGGAGCCCAGGGCTCGAGGATCCCTTGAGCTCAGGGCTCTCTTCCGGGACAGCATGCCAAACAAGCTTTTGGTAGATCATCAGCTAAGAGTGAACTCTTGAAACCTAAATAAATAAATACAAAAAGGAGCTGCTTTCTGTTATAGTCTAGATTTATTTCTCTTCGGCTTAGACCCTAATTCATCAGGGGTCATCACAGCGGAATAAACCACCTAGATTAATTTCATAAATAATATTTCTAGATCAGGGGTTTTCAAAGTGTGAGGCGCGCCTCCCCTGGGGGGCGCCAGAGCATGTCAGGGGAGGCACGGGAAAAATATTATATAATAAAAATATAATTATTAAGTTTAATTATTATATGTATTTTTTATTATATTTAAACATTTTAATTAAACAAAGCTAAAAAAAAATAATACGTCAAAAATAAGAAAACATTTTTTTACCCAGAAGGCCATAGCTGTGAATTCGCTTCTGTTTGGCCTGCCAATACATGTATATGCCTGCTAATGCAATGGATCGGTTTCTGAGACCCCCCCGATTCAAAGCCTTCAAGTTCAGGGTTTAAACCCAAAAGACGACGATATGATGATCCGCATTTGAGTTTAGGATTTACGTGGACAGGACCAGCTGATGAACCACGACCTTTAAGTGTGGTTTGTCAAGATATTTTGGCTAATGACAGCATGAGACCCGCTAAACTTCGTCTGTTTTGACTGGGATGGACAGTTCTTGGATCTGTTCTATTCATATTGAACCATCATCCTAGTTTTAAAAACGTTATATTAAAATACTTGTTATTACTCTGTAAATAATTGCACTTTCATGCAAATGATGATAAAGGTGAGTTAACAGTCTGACATCTGTCTGTGTCTTTATATATACTGTATATATATATATATATATATATATATATATATATATATATATATATATATATATATATATATATATATATATATATATATATATATATATGTATATGTATATGTGTGTGTGTGCGTTTGGGAGGAGGGGGGCGCCAATGGATAAGTTGTGTCAAAAGGGAGGCCCACTGTCTTAGACTTTGAAAACCCCTGTTCTAGATGATTTAAATGAGTAAAAATATGATGAAATGTAAAGGTGTGACCTGAAAAAAACATTCTAGACCTGATATGGAAATAAAAAAATTTGACTCTTAAATAGCTTTAAATCTATCTTAAATAGCCATGGTCAGTTTTAAAACATGTTTATTTTTCTAGATATTTCAAGATCAAAAATATAATTTTTTTTTTAAAAATATGCAAAGAAAAAAATGCTTTGAAATAAACTTAAACTCAAGATTTAAGCTGCTGTGCTGTCTAATTTTATTTAATTCGCTCAAATCATTTTTATCAGGGGAATTAGAAACCTCTTAAATAGTCAGTTTTAAAACATTTTTTTCTAGATATTTCAAGCTCTAAAAATATGCATTTTATAAAGAGAAATATTTATTATACCCTGTAAAACCAAATAAAGTAGGGTAATTCAAACTATTTGAGAAAACTGATTGCAACAAACCATTTAAGTTCAAAAACTAATCCTAATGAGTACTGTGAACTGTAAATAAAGCAATTTGCGCACAGTAAAACTCAAACCAACTGAGTATTATAAAACCCAATAAGTAAAGGCAACTCAAATCGTTTGAGGAAAACGATTGCTACAAACCATGTGAGTTAAAAAACTAATCTATATGAATACTGGGAACTGAGATGAAAATGAGCAGAATTAACTTTCAGTAAATTGTGAGTTTACTTCCGTCATCTCATTTGATAAATTTGACTGTTGGCTTTTACAGTGTATAAAATATAATATATTCTGCAAATATATTGCAATTTCTGACAAAATATATAGTAAAAATGACTAATGATAATTTCTGTCTTTAATCATATTTAACTACATACTGCTATTAAAAATAACATAAATATTTACATATTTAAATACATTTATATTACATAAAATATTATATAAATAATTATTATTTGTAATAAATATTAATAAGTGTATTGTATAATAAAATGATAGAGGTAAATAATTGTATTTAATAACTACAATTTAAATAAATTATCTAAATAAATATATACGCATGAATATATAGCATATAGTATATTTTTATATTTTTTATTTATTTTACTTTGTTAAAACTTTGTTTATGTTCCATAATGCAATTCAAAATAAACAAAAAGTACACAACAATCATGATAAATTAGCAACTGTTAATTTTAAAAAATCTGAATATTACTAACTTCCATTGAGGCATTTTGTTATTTTAGAAGTTTCAGCCAAATACAGTTCAAAATATATTTTCTTTTCTTTTCTTTCTTTCTTTCTTTCTTTCTTTCTTTCTTTTTTTCTTTCTTTCTTTCTTTCTTTCTTTCTTTCTTTCTTCCTCTAAATTTATCAATTTATTTATTTTATTGATTTATGGCAACTGTCTTTTTTCTTTCTATTTAAGTCAGAAAAAAATGGTTGTTATTTTTTTTTAAATATGAAAACTTTATATTGTGAAATATGCAATTAAGTTATTAGTAAATCAAGTTTTTCTTTTTACTTTTTTTATTCGTTTTAACATAACGGAACAAACAGATCACCAGAGGCATCATATACAACTATTACATTCTTCTTATACAGTCGTTTTTGTAGTACAGGTTACTCTCCCATTAGCCCCCCAGCCCAACCCACCCGTAAAAGGTACTGTATTATAAGCATAAACACCAACATAGTTTCCTTCAAGTCCATATGATTCAGTCTTTTACAATCTGTAATGTGCGGTCCAAACAAAATATTTTACATATATAATATATTATATATGTGAAATATTTTGTTAGTAAATCAAGTTTATGTGTTAATTCTACTGATTAAACTTTATTGTTTAAAATTGGACTTATTAGTGACTTGAAGTGACATTTCAGTGAGTTTAAACATTTCTTTTATGTTTATATTTTATGCAACACCCAAAAATAACCTTATAGAAAACAGAAGCAACAATCAGGCACATAAAACTCTTTCCTCCAGGATATCATGTTTTCTGGATTTGTTTGTTAGACTGCAACTTTCAGTACTTCATTTACCACATCATTTTTAATCAGCACACACCACTAAAACAGAACTTGAAGAGGACTTGTTAACAATTTTGTCATTTGTACCTCCGCTAAACCTCAATAAATGCTAATTTTGCATGTGCAATCTTTTGTTTACTGCTAAAAAAAAGACGACCTAGTCATATCTGACTGTAAGGAAAGTTTTTGTTTTTTACGTTTACATTTAGTCTTTAGCAGACGCTTTTGTCCAAAGCGACTTACAATTGAGGCTTACAATTGAATTGTTTCCATTTCAGTATTGCTATCTAAACTTTGCAAGTCAAAAAATAAAACATATTATCCCACTGGTAATTTGAAAGAGGTTGAATACAGCAGTGTGGCAGTGGGAGGGTTTGGTTATGCAGAAGGTACAGAAGGTCGCGAGTGTGAACAGCTGCCAGAGACACGCACAAGTAAAAAGGCTTTGATGTACTAGAAAGAACTGCCTGGCAGAGATATAGCCTGTGATGTCATGATGGCACTGCACCATTTGCAGGAATCAGCGCTTCTCTCAATGTAGCTTCTGCCTAGGCTAGACAACAATGGGTGAAAGCAAACTAAAAACATACACATTTAAAATAATTGGGATTATCCCCTTCTCACAAAGTACAATCTACCAGGACTTTCTAAAAACCGTATAGCTAACAGAGAGTTGAAAGAACCTGTCTCTTAAGCTGGAAAGAAGTTTACAGCAGCCTGATTCTTGGAAATCAGAGGTCTTCAAATTTAGCATTAGTCAACAGATTCCCACAGATTAGATCATATTCATATAAATACATAATCTAAGAACTGCGTTGAAATGTTACAGTGTGCAACACTTCCAGGTTGTTGAATTATGTATGAAATAATGCATTTAGGCTGAGAGAAAAGCTATGAGAAACTGGTGCATTCATTTCTTGGTCTCAAAAGTATGAAAGAGTGTTTTTGTAAGTTACCTGGTTGCATGTCGAAATGTCTTGTCCGCTCTTGAGGAACTCCAGCACCTTTTCAATGTTGCCTGCCCGGGCTGCTCGCAGGAAG